TGATGATGATGAAGATGTGGTCGATGTTAAAGTATTAACTGTATTGGTAAGTGCAAGAAACATCTGGATCACTAAAAATCACAAAGTAGATGAAGAAACAACTGCTCATTGACTGTTTAGAACCTAATGATATAATGTAGTCATGTGCTAGTGTAGTTCCGTGCTAATGTGATAATATAATTTATGAGCTATTAGTTGAGAAATATCTGTGAAAGGTAGTTCTTCCCAGGAGTATATATTAAGAAGTCCAGGTACAATGGAATATATTAGTGTCTCTAGTATGATATATGATGTTATATTATAGGTACTTTAAGGTAAAATTCTACCTCTTTCTTGAAACCCCCTCAAAAATTTTGTCAGTTTTCACTGAACTTTATATTTTTAAGCATCTCTTTTACTCAAATGCTATGTGATCCATAGTATTATACTTAATATTAAAACACATTGTCCTGACTTTACAAAAAAAATTATTTTTGTTTGTATATCTCAGCTTTTTAATCAGGTTGTAAACTAGCTCTTCTTGAATTTTTCAAATTACATTCCCAGTTCTTGGTATATGCTACATTCAGTACTGCATAAAACCCAAGACCTCACATATGCAAAACAAGTGCTCTACTATTGAGCTACATCCCCTATCCTTGAATTATTTTTTTTTTTATTTTTGATGAAAACTTATGTGCTTTGGGCTTGTTCTTTTTCCCAAGAAAATCTAGATTGGCTAGTTGGCCGGTATTTTCTTTTTTTTTTTGAGATTGTCAAACTGTCTAGAAAAATTTACTAATTTGGTTGATCTTTGTAATATCAAGACAGTTATTATTAGACTGTAAAATTGAAGGTGTGGAACGGCCATGGCCCCAGAGGCACATGGACCTAATTCAGAACCCAGCACCTTCTGGCAGAAATGTGAATGGACTATGCATTAAGCTACAGTACCGTGCTCCCCGGGGAGAGAAGGAGTGTCTGTCTCTTCCACCATACATCCCCCTCCTCCGCTGGCGTGGTGGCTGCCATCTCAGAGCTTATTGGACAGCCACGTATGATCTGGTGGTGACAGGGCAACTGCAGCCTCATGGGATGGGGGGCAGAACAGGCATGTCATTCTTGCCCTGGCGAGACCACGAGTTACCCCTCATGAGCGGCTCTCTGGCACAGCCATGGACCCAGAGGCACACAAACCAATCTCAGAACTATGCAGCTTTTGGCAGAAATCCCTCCAGACTTAATTAGCAAAATGTAAGAAATTCAAAATCCAAAATCCAAGACATCATATGTTCTTCATAACCAGCAATAGAAAACAAATTATTTCATGATGCTTTTTCCAGCAGGTTTGATTGTTGGGGGGAAATTCCAAATAATAATGGTACATCTTTTGTCAAAATAATGAATGTAATCAGAGTAGAGAGAGAGTTAAGTGGAAATCATCTGCCTCACAGGCAAGAGGAGGGGTGGCATGGGGGGTATATTGGGGATTTTGGTGGAGGAAAATAAGCACTGATGAGTGATGGGTGTTTGGCCATTGTATGACCGAGACTTAAACCTGAAAGCTTTGTAACTGTTCTCACTCTGATTCAATAAATACTGTCTGTCACACTGTCCTCCCGTTGTTCATCGAGTTGCTCGAGCGGGCCCAGTAACGGGAGACTTTGTTGTTACTGTGTTTGGCATATTGAGTACGTCACGGGTAGCTTGCCAGGCTCTGCCGTGCGGGCGAGATACTCTCAGTAGCTTGCCGGGCTCTCCGAGAGGGGCGGAGGAATCGAACTCGTGTTGGCCAGGTTGGCTGCGTGCAAGGCAAACGCCCTACCGCTGTTTGAAGGTGTGGAAGCTGAGACATGCATTTGGGGACTTTAATAATCACAATAGTAGTAGTAAATAATAGAAGCAATAGTGATTATTAAGAACACTAATTAAAGTGTGGAGAGACAGTAGAGCTTAAGGCTAAGGTGCATTCCATGCCACCAGGCACCACGAATTATTTACTGGGCATTTCCAGGTCCTCTTATCATGACAAAGAGTTAGGAATAAGTCCTGAACTCCTGTAGTTGTGCTCCAAATTCCATATACCCCCTACCATGAAATAAAATAAAAATAAACTCTAGTTCATTCTCTTAGTGCCATGCACTGATTTAACTCCTTTTCCTAAAGAATTTGATGTATTCCTCGTGACAGCCCTCTATGATATATTACATTATTGCAGGAGAGGAAAATGAGTATTTTCCCCAAGGTTAATACTACTAAGTTAGTCAAGATTTGATGGATTTACAATCCGTTAGGAGTGAAAAAAAATAATGCGTTTTACCCAAAGTGATATATAATGAGCACAATAAGAAAAGAACACAAGTATTAACTCTTTCAGATTGCTCTTTTTTCACTCATTCAGCATTTTTTTTCTTTAATTGGTATAACTATACTCTCAGTGTTTAGAGTATAGCAATAAGAATTCTGTATTTTTGCAGGCCAAAGTACTTCTCCATGCAGTCATGTGCCTACTCCAGTTTGATCAATGATGGGCCATTTGGAGAATGGTGGTTCCCACATTCTTATTGCCTAGTGGAGTAGCTCTCAGTGTCACAGCATTTTCTGCTGGCAGCAGCCTCATGCATTTCATGACCACCAAGTCTCTTAAATAACATCATTTTCCTTCGTTCTTGAGTTAATCACATTTGTTCCTTGTGGTGCCTAAGGGTACCACACTCACTGATAACGTGTTTGCACAATGATGAAGTCATCTAACAAAATATTCCTGCACTTAACATATCACTGTGCTTAAATGGTATGTAAATTTAATCTTGTTCATTGCCACACTAATACTACATCCTGAAAACTGGTTACAAAATGTATTGCTGAGAAAGTTTGGCCATAAATGAGCTCTTTACTATTTTCTGTAGGTTGTAATTAGTAATACTATTTCCATATATCATTCATTTTCGATCACCCTTATATAACCAATGAAAAGGATGTGATCTTTTTTATATGAGCCAAACCCCCATTTTTTTGTATGTTTATTTGGAGGCAAATTTTAGTGGTGCTCAGGGATTAACCCTGGTTTTGTGCTCAAGAATCACTCCTGGCAGACTGGGGGTGGGGGGGTGGGGAGGGAACAGGTCAGTAATATGATATGCCAGGAATTGACCCTGGGTCTGATGCATGCAAGCTAAATTCCCCACCTGCTGTACTATTACTTTATCCCCAAACTCAGCCAACCCCCTGTGCCCACATACACTTTATTTAAGCACTATGGTTTACAAAGTTATTCATGATGATTTGTTACAGGCATTTAATATTCCAACACCTATCTCACAACCACAGTTACCTTTCCTTCTTCATTGTCTACAATTTCCAACCATTCTGCCAGCCTGTCCCTGTGGCAGGCACATAATAATTACTTTTTTATTTGTTTGTTACCCATAAATGGCTAACAGGATGATCAAAAAATACTTAGAAGAAAATTAGTGCAAGTTGTTTTATGTGGATATGTAAGACCTTGTTTGAGGGATTACTAAAATGTTATTACAAGTTAAACTTCTGTGTTAATATTTTTGTAATCTCATCCAATCTGGTGTGCTATTACTGGGTTGTCAATGTTGTAGAGTTTGGAGAAGTTGTGCAGCTGTGAAAGTGGCTCTGTACTTCAGAAAATCCACATTTTCTAACTGGTCTGTCCCACTGGAGTTGAATTTGTGACTGCTGAGTTTACATAGCCTTGAAGGTGGTTTGTGGGCATGAGTGTTGGGAGTACAGAGGAATCAGGGGAGGTAGGCATCCTGAGAAGGCATGGAGATTTCAGCCATAGGGACCCATGTACCTGAGGTTTAAGCAGGGTTAATTCATTGTGAGATCCCGTAGTTCTGAGGTGATGGAGTCCAGCAGAGGCAAGGCAGCTGCTTTTGGAAGTCAGCACATTTTTGCAGTCACTATTTGACTCCTGCCCTTCTCTGCATGCTTTTAGTGTGAATATTAGAGTGTGATGATGAGGTTAAAACTATGCAGTCATATAAAGTGTTTAGGATAGAATCCAATATAAAAAACAAGGTCTCTATGACATATCTAAGTAACGTAATTGTTAGTTTCTTTCTTTCTTTCTTTCTTTCTTTCTTTCTTTCTTTCTTTCTTTCTTTCTCCTTCCCTCCCTTGCTCCCTCCCGCCCGCCCTCCCTCCCTCCCTCCCCTCCTTCCCTCCCTCCTTTCTTCTCTTCTTTCTCTTTTTACTCTTTCTCTTTCATCTCCTTCTCTCTTCTTCCCTCCATCCCTCCCTCCTTTTCTGCCCTTCTCTTCCATCCCTCCCTCCCTCCCTTCCTTCCTTCCTTCCTTCCTTCCTTCCTTCCTTCCTTCCTTCCTTCCTTCCTTCTTCCCTTCTTTCCTTTCTTTCTCTTTTCTTTCTTTATCTCTCCCTATTTCTTTATACAATAAAATTTCAATAAATTTAAAATGTTTCACTAAAAAGTAGACAAGACTAGACAACTAATTAGAATATGCTAAAATGAGCAGCACTTTTTGAACCTTGAGTCCCTTTTTGGGTTTGATTTTTGAACAACTTGTTTTGACAGAGCATCTTCCAGGTTGAAATAAGCCTTTCAAATAAGACCAGTAAAGAGCTGGTCGTCCTGGGGTTCCAGTGAACCTTGAGGAAAAATCTCTGAAGCAGACCCCAGACTAGAATCTATTGAACCTTCAGAAAGGAGAGGAGAGGAGATAACTCTGTTTTCTCAGTCATCTCTCTGGACTGATGCTCAATTGTAACATCAGGCAGTGTACATACTAACGGCTCTTCTCTCCTATACGTAGTGGAACCAACAACTTGTACATTTCTAAATCCTCATGCTGAAACAATATTATCAATGTGCTGTAACTACAGTAGCTTAAAATGCTAAATATCTTTTCATTTTCTTATATGATTCTTTTGCATTGGGGTTGTTCTAAAAGCTGTGAGCCCTAGTCTTGCTGAATAGAGATTCTCTTTTAGGCTTTTACATCATCTAGTCCAATCACCTCATTTTGCAGATCAAGAAACTGAATCTGAGGGAGAAAGTACTTACCCAGAGTCATCTGCTAGTCAGTGATGTCAACACTGGAACAATGGGTAAGTTGTGTGACCTCTTTCAGTTTCTATTTCCTGATCTTTAAAATGGAAACAAAAGATAGGTCTATAAAGTCTCTCTAAAGTTCCTTCTTGTTCTTATTCTAATAATCTACGATGTGCTTTTTAATTTTAGGCTCTTAACTTTCACTCTGATTTCTATTTTCTAACAGTCAAGAAGCTTTTTTTATAGAATGGGGCATTGTATGCCTAAATGACAGTGTTCAAGAACTTTTTAAAAGGCTAAAAATTGGTTAATTTTTTCCCACTAGCTATAGATATATTTGAATAAGGTAGTTTTTTTAGATTACATATTTTAAAAATGCAGTTAATTTTAAATATGGTCAATAAGTTAATGTATAACTTCCAGTGTGTCTTTATTAAACTAAACTTCCAAACAGTTTGTCTTTATAAAATTAAAGTGAATGTCTGCTATTGATTTATATTGTTTTACTTATCACAAAAAAATCACACATAATTGAATAAGAAAACTAGAGGATTAATGCTGTTCTAAATGGAAATGCTCAAGTTGCTTTTAATTCATTTAAAATTTGATTGCTTATAAGCAAAAATTACAAACTTTTTTTCCACACACATCCCATTTCCTTTAACAATTACTAATAGCAACTTCATTATATAATGGTATCTTTAAGAACATTGTCAAGTATATACATATTCATTGTTCCTGTCTGTATAGAATCAGCTTGATTATGACAGTCACAATAGCAGAAGATTCAAGAACTATGACATTTATGACATTTAAAATCCTTGGCTCCACAACATTATCTTTAGGGTATAAGAAGATCAAGACATTTAATATCCATTTATTTATTTATTTTTGTCTGTTCCACTAAAGGATGGAACTATTTCTAAATTCTTTCTGTAAACTACATTACACACCCATTTTTTGGACTAGATATATGTATTTAATTCATTCTTAAAGTACATTTTAAGTGCAGAGAACTCTGAGGTCACAGACTGTTGGCTATTACGGAAAAATTCTTATTTCCTTGGACATACGGATTCTCATACATTCATAATCTAAATGACATTTGTGTGTCTGATGGTTTTTGAAAGGATATTAAAATGATCAAATGAGACAAAGTGCACAAAAATTTAAGCATGGCATTGTTTTTTTTTACTCCAAGTTAAAGTATATACATTTATAGAAAATAGTAAGTGCTATAAAAAGAAATCGAGAGTGTAAGAAACATATACTGTACTTTACTAGTAAAACCATAGCTTAGAGTTTAGAAAGTACCAGGATGAAAATGAAATACTATTGCTATATTATACAGTGCCCATATTTATCATGATTTATATCAAGGACATACCACCCAGCCTACCTAATATCTCGTTGCCAGACATTAAAGTAGCTTACTGTACTTTCTGGTTTTATTATTAAATGTTGAGAAGCATTCTGCTTCTTCTGAATGAGGCTTCTCTTTTATAGACTGCAAAATGGTAAGGGCTTATATGTAACTTCATTAATTAGGGATAAGCATCAACCAAGAAAGAGCTAAGAAGAGGACAAATTGAAATATCAGTCTAGTTACTTCTCTTTCCTTTAACAAGTATTAGATAACACAAATCACAAATCACAAATCATACTGTTATTCGTCGATTGCCTCGAGCAGGCCCCAGTAACGTCTCCTTCATCCTAGCCCTGAGATTATATTCAAGGCTCTTTAGGAGAATGAAACCCATCATTGTTACTGGTATTTGGCATATTGGGTACGCCAAGGGGAGTTTGCCAGACTCTGCCCTGTGGGCAGGCTACATTCGGTAACCTGCCAGTTTGTCCAAAGTAAGAATGAGATAATAAGATGTCATAATAAGATGTCACGCGGCCGCATTTGTGGCCACGCGGTTCCGGGATCTGGTTTTTATAGTCTCTGAGTCTTGGCCGCTGATGGGATTACACGGCGCCAGGGGGCCAGTTGGTGGGTGTGACCCCCGCCTACTGGAATTTGGAGGATCTCCATTAATACAGGTCTGGTGTTTTGGTTTAGTTTATTTTTTTTAATGACTACCCAAAGTTTCCTTGTCATAGGGCCACACGGGACAGTGCTCTGGGCACTGACAGAGCTCAAGGGCCAAGTAGTGCACAGCGGGTAGGGTGTTTGCCTTATACGCGGCCAACCCCAGTTCGATTCCCAGCATCCCATATGATCCCCTGAGCACCGCCAGGAGTAATTCCTGAGTGCAAAACCAGGAGTAACCCCTGTTCATTGCCAGGTGTGACGCAAAAGGCCAAAAAAAAATGCTGAAGATGAATTCGGGGCTTCACACATATACAAGACATGTGTTCTATTACTCCCCACCACCTCCTTGGGCACGCAAGCCAAAGTTTTTATTTTTTTCATTATAAAAATAAAACAGGGGCTGGAGAGATAATATAGAGGGTAGGGCGCTTGCCTTGCACAGGGCTGACCTCGGTTTGATTCCTGAAATCCCATATGGTCTTTCGAGCACCACCAGGAGTGAGCACAGAGTTAGGAGTTAGCCCTGAGTACTACCAGGTGTGACCCCAAAACACAAAAAAAACATGGTAAAAACAAAACAAAACAAAAACTCTTCCAGGGAGTCTCTCTCTCCCCAGTGTAGATACAACCCTTGATAGTCTCTTATGCAGCACTGTAGCACTGTCCTCCCATTGTTCATCGATTTGCTCAAGCGGGCCCAGTAACGTCTCACAACAAATTGTGAGACTTGTTACTGTTTTTTTGGCATACTGAATATATCACGGGGAGCTTGCCAGGCTTTGCCGTGTGGGCAAGATACTCTCAGTAGCTTGCCGGGCTCTCTGAGAGGGGTAGAGGAAACGAACCTGGGTCGACTGCGTACAAGGCAAACACTCTACCCACTGTGCTATTGCTCCAGCCTAGTCTCTGATACAGTGTCCAGAAACTGTTCGTGCGTGTGTATAATTTATGAACACAAGCACACTCTCTCGCCTTGTTTATGCAAAGCTGAGCAAGGGCCAGGGAGATGTCTCAAAAGGCCGAGTACTTCCTTGCAGGCGGGTGCCCTGCATTCAGTCCTTGTACCTCATAGTCTCCGAAGCCAAGTGGGGGGCCCAAATCAAAAAATAAAATGAAACTCTGAACGGGCTATCAATTTACTCTCTCTGAGCTGGTCAAAAGGCACAGATCCACTTTGACAGATCAGCCCATGGCGGGTGAACTTGCAGCTGGGAGACATAATGTGATCTGGGGCTCCCAATGCCAACTGATCTGCAGAGCATCTTTCTGTACCTTTATATTGCCACTATAAGACTGGCAAAAAGAATGCTATGGTGTTAGCCTGTGTGTGTGGTTAGAAGGCATGAAACTCTTATGCTTGTTCTTTTGGGCAGTGCCACTTTATTATAATATATAATCTTGGATTGAGACAGTTCAGGTTGCTGGAGCACACAGGCTTTGCATGCAGGAGCTCCAGATTCAATTCCAGCACCCCCGGGCTCTTGAGTACTGCTGGGAGCAACCCCAGAGCATAGAGCTGGGAGAAGCCCCTAAGTACCACCCAGTGGGGCCCTTAACGCACCCCCATCCAGAAACAAATAAAGTACATTGATATATAGTCCTTGACCTGCCAGTATCATTTTCAGCTACATTTTTTTTTCTTTATGGGTCACACCTGGCATTGCACAGTGGTTACTTATGACTCACATGCTCAGGAATTACTCCTGGTGGTGCTCAGGGATGCTGAGAATCGAACCCAGGTCAGCCGCATACAAGGCAAACGCCCTATGGCTCCAGCCCCTCAGCTACTTATTAGATAACAGATTTTTAAAAACATTTACTTATACAAATAGTTTGGGATATGTGATTTGTTGTCTTGAGTTTCCTTACTTTTATTGTGTATATACATACATATAGTTTAGGTAACTAAGTTTCCTAAAACACATCTGAACAAGAAGAAACTACATGATCTTTATGCCTCTTATTTTCTATTTTAAATTTAATTCAGCATATAGATATTGAGCTCTAGCTTACAACACAGTGGACAAGACAATGGTAGGGCCACCTGATCAAAAAAAAAATAGGTTCTAGGTATTCTGAATTTATCTATGGAAAATGGATGTGTGATAACCAAACACCAGGTATGTTTAGTTTAAAGCACTAGACACACTAGACATGCAATTGATATATTTATAAATATGAAGTAAATAAAAATCAGTTAAGCTGGGAGGGATTTAGGAAGATTTTGTGAAAGGGTATTGGAGCACAGTTACTTGTGCATGGAAATACTTACTTGAGGAAAAGATTTCGTCATATTGTTTGACTGTAAATGGAGAGAAAACACAAAGCAGCAACAAAGGTTCAGTGTAATTCATCCTGCACAGTGTTGAGATTAAAATATTGTTTGTTGGAATTCAGAATATAACTTAATTTGTATGGGATTGTCAGAGGTATAGGAGAGTACTGTCAGTGTTGCCATTTGCTGTTTCTCTAAAAGATTTTTGTTTGCACATTAGATTTGTTTCTCTGTAGAGTAATATATAGTGGAAAAATGTCTTCATTTATATAAATATTACCATTTTTATATGGGATATTTTCATATTTTGCCACTAAATAGGAAGAGAAGAGAAAGAAATGATTAAAATATTTTTACAATATGTTATTTGTAGTTGAAGAGAGAGTACAGGAGGTAGGACACATGACTTGTCTGTGACCAATCTGGCCTCAATCTTTGGCACCCCTGGGCATTGCCAGGAGTGATCCCTATGCACAAAGCCAGGAAGAAGCTCTGAGCCTGCCAAAAAAAATTATAAAGTTAGTATAGGAACTTACTTGCTCATTAGGTGCTCCTTTTTTATCAGTATGACATTCAGATATGATAAGGCTGTTTATTTATCTAATTTACATGCATTTAAGTTCCTTTCCAAATAAATATAGTAATATTTATATTTTCCCACTTTCCATTTCCCTTTGTTGATATTATTGTTGAGGTGACTGGGATCACACCAACTCTTGGTTCTGATGCATATTCTGGGTTGT